CGTTCCGCTTCAGTGTTGACCTGTGTGGATGTCTACACAGCTGTCTCTCCTCAGGGTTTGTATGTCCGTGATTCACGCTTTCTGGAGCACTTTGTGGGTTCGGACTGGTACACTTGAAGACAAGAGGGCAAGAACAGGCTCTGAGAGTAGAAATTTTGGTTCAGTACATGAAGATACCAGCTATGAACTTCTGTACAAGGTTCAGATTTCTCGTGGTGTTCCCAGGCTCCCGCCTGAACACCTAGAGTCCCTAGGGAAATCAAGGGCAGGGGAGACTATTTCCAGGGTACCATGTCAGCTCTGTGCAGTGCAGGGATGAACTTTGAGTCAGAAAACTTTGTCTCAGCCACATATGAGTGAGCAACTGGATTTAGCATGGCCATGAGAGCATGTTTCCCACCTTCCTTGGAGGGGTTATGAGTGTCCGTGTAGGGTCACATTGTGAACTAGGGGCTCTTGGCAGTGCACGTCATTATGTAAAGAGGAAAAAACAACTGCACCTTGAAAGCTTAGGTCTCTGTCCTGGGATGAGATGTTTTCTCCCCCTTGCAGTGCAGATGCATGGGGTCCCTGTCTCCCCTGGACAATTAGCTTGAGGCTAAGTGGGTTCAGGTAAAAAAATAATGTGTTCACTTTCAAAGCTCCCTGGGGAAGGGAATTCAGAAGATGGCACTCATTTCCTGGGCTGGAGAGACCAATGTTGAATCATTTTGTTTGCTTTTTATTAACAAAATAAGAGTTTATTCCATTCCTTAGAAACGTGGTTCCATAATGAAAAGTTCTCAGTCCCCGAAAGTTCTCTTTTTATGAAGATAAAGGAGAAGAAAACAAGGCGAGGAAAGATAAGAGGGAAAAAGAATTTGTATATTGGCTTAGGGTGCCTTCTGGAATAAGGAATACTTAGGATACTTGGGAATTGGACATTAGAGGCAGAACGGAGGGTAGAGAGTGGTGGGGAACAGAAAGTGATTCACGGAAAGTTTTCTGCACATTGGGAAGGACATATGCAGGTGACCTGGTGTTATGGTTTCAGTACCAGCATATAACACACTAGAGGAAAATCCTGAATGCTTGTTGGATGGGCCCTTGGTCATTAAGGTCATTTGCTCTGAGGCAAATCCTACAACTCTCTAGGCAACACTTTTTTGGGGGATTAGCCCAAAAAAGTTCTCAAGGTGTGATTCCTGGACTGACAGGTTCCACATCACTTGGGAACTTGTTAGAAATGAAACATTTCAAGCCCTACCCACCGGTCTCCTGAATTTGAGCCTCTGGGGGTGGGCGGGTTGCTCTGATTCTGACACAGATGCCACAATCTAGGCTCAGGACGTGGGAGCACCCTCCAGCTTGTGTCAAATGGGAAATCCTGAAGCTTACACTGAGTACCTTATCTTCCTAGAAATTGGAAATCAGCTAAGTAGGCTTATACTTTCAATAGAAACAATGCATATTGAATATTTTTTCAAGTTTTTATTTATATTCCAGTTAGGTCACATATAGTATAATACTAGTTTCAGGTGTATAATTTAGTGATTCATATTAAATATTTGTGCATTTAGGGATTGGCTATGAGTTCAGCCTTATTATGTAATTTTAAGTTGAACTTTCAGACCACTGTGACTGATCTTCAGAGCCGCTACAAAAACCACAGCATACTAATTCCTGCTATGAATAAGTTTTCTCCAATGGAACAACCTGTTACCACCCATTCTAGCAGCTATCTCTTTTCATGCAAGGACTAAAAGGGGGCATTTCCACCATTTTTGGTTCATACGTGCATCAGAGCTATCATTCATTCATTTATATCTTTTAAAAGTACAATCTCCATTTTACCTGTTTCCAGAGAACACTTTTTCTTCAGTGTTTGAAGCCTTTGCTCCTTATGTGGGCTTTGGTGGAAGTTGTGGGGCAGCATCCATGGGTCTAAATTGGTCCTTCTGTGCTTCTGGAGGGCAGTGCCCAACTACCTTGCTGTGAATGGCAAGGCTTACAGGAAAGGGTTCACAGCTTGGGCACACCTAGGCAGCCAAGACGCTTGCTTCGGAAATGTCCCTGACGGCGGTGGCCTCTATGTGCTGAACAACGACCTTTTTAATGTGTCCCTGGGCATGCCGGGTGCAGCTGGTGTAGCGGGAGGCTGCACGCAGCCCTGGTCCTTTTGCACACCACTGTTATTCCTCTTTTTCTTGGTCATCTTGGAAACGAGGACCCCAGAAGTGCCTCAGAGCTTTCAAAAAACATTTGATGGAGACATGAAAATAACGTAATGGCCTTCTTTTGGAAGACTTATCTCAGATTTAGCTAAACTGGACCTTTTAACAATCAGGACTTTTCAGGTACCTTTGCAACTTGCCATGAGCCCCACTCCCCATGTGTGATCACTTTGAGTAATTCTGCAAGATGCTACATAAGGTCTGATTCGTGGACAGCCTCATCACCCGCTGACAAGTGGGCTCCTCTGGACAGCACCATATGCCCTAGGGTGGGCAATATGGATTACTGGGTCAGGGAGACCTGCACTCCCCACTGTGCACGCAGGTGCGTGCGCCTTGCACAAAGGCAAGCCCTGCATCTCCACCTCCCTCACCAGCAGCTCCATGTCCTCGGAATGTGTGGGGGACAGGCCAGCTATTGGAGTTTCCCCAACTGTAAACTTGAAAAGCCACTGAAAGGGTTACGTTGATGAATACCTGGAGAAAGCACATTTCTTCCAGGAATTATTGGTGCTCGCTGCTATCACCATAATATCCGTGATGACTGAGTAGATCATGATGCTATGCACTATATGTTTAGTAATGTCAGAGTGAGAAAGCATGAATGACAGTTCTGCAAACCTGGGTATATTTAGGAAGAGCTGTATAGTGTTTAGAAAACCTTTTTCCAAAGGACTTAAAAAGAAGTTTCTAGACCTAAGACACATCCATCTCCCATCAAATACAACTATAATTTAGTTATTTGAAATGACCTACTACCTGTTTGGGTTTGAGCCCATTTTCTCATCTGTAAAATGGGGATAATGCTACTTGCCTCATGGAGCACGTGTGACGATTAAGTGAAAAAATATGGCACGTGACAGGCACTTGGTAAATATTAGAGGCATTCCATTCTGAGGGGCAAGTTTCTGCTCATCACTAACACTGCTAATCTCTCCAGTATTTAGAACACAAGTGAAAAATATTAAATGCAAAGAAAAAGTTTTTATTCTTTGATATATAAAACCAAGAAAACTTTAATGTGTAATACAACAGTTTTTTTTTTTTAGGAGAAAATGGCAGAAGATATGGGTACAAAAATGCACTCAAGCAGCTGTTCCAAGAAATTCAGAATTCCTAAAATTATGAACAACAGCATACAAGTCACAGAGGAGGCTTTTTTTTCTTTTGACTAAAAAATTATTCACATTTGCTTAACTTAAACATGGTAAGAAATATAACTTTCCTTCTTGGTAACAGATCCAGTTACTCAACAAGATATTCAATAACCAGCAATAACTTAGTAAAAGAACATTTCATTTGTGATAGTAACTAGCATTAGAGTTTTGGTTCTATAATACTTATTGTAGTAAAAAAAAAAACAACAACAAAAAAACCACTTCTGACGGCTTATGTGCCAGAAAAGATGCTCATACAGTTCACTGGAGCAAAAAAATTTGGGTGTATTTGGACTGTCACCCCAGACCTCAAAGGGAGAGCACCTTTGGTCTTCCCTGTGCTTAGGAACAAAACCAACAGCGAGGCTGGCATACAAATAACAAAATCAAACATAGGCGCAGAAGACCACAACTACTCAATAAAAACTATTTCTGACCAATAAATAGTTTCCAAAAGAAATAAAAATAATTGGCTTTTACACTTAATGAAATCAGGAAAAATGAAGATGTTGAGGTACTGTTTTCCATTTGTTAGCGGCCATAAATCAGGACAGTTTTGCCACTGGCCAGCAGGGGGTGCTGGACCACAGGAGAAGCAGCTGTGTACTCTCCCAGGAAAGGCATCCTAGAAAAATATTTTCACCTGTATTAATATGAAAACTTTATTTGGTCAAAGTTTAGTTCTCAAAGTATAAGTGTAATTTTCTCCTCGATATTGGATTCAAGCAAAATAGACTTCATATAAAATTGGATCAAACATGAATAAACCTTTAAAATTACTAAATATATAAATATTGCTGGAAGATCAAGGGGAAGTGACAATGAATTTAATCTGTGTTAAAAATCAAGTTCCGGGTGACTTGTTATTTAAAAACAAAGATAACAGAAACTATACATTCAAATGACTATGAGCTTTCAAAGGCCTGGCTGGAGGTGTGTGGTAGGCTTATCCATCCTTTCTGCTGATAATATATCAAAAATTGCCCTCAGATACAATCAGTCCACAGGAAAAGACAGAGTAAATATTGGCTTTTGGTCACAAAAGTATTGCTGAGCATCACCTTCCAATCCAGTAGAGCCGGCATTTGCCCTCTGACCACCTGCCTGCGAGGCCCTGACTCAGGCCAGCTCTTTTCCCCCAGGGATGTTTGGGAATCCAACACCCCCCGGCTATCTGAAATACAACTATCAGCAAGGTGGAAATTTGAAATTCATGGTCTACAGTCATACATCTTGTAGGTTCGGGTGCCGTCCTGCCCATCAGCGGAGCGTGCAAGGCAGTAAAAACTGGCTGTGTCTGCAGGAGTCACATTAAAAACACGATGTACTGTCTTTAAAAAGTACTTTTAAAGCTTCATTTATAAAAGTATTCTTGAAACTGAAACATTTTCTGCACTTGGTCAGGAAAGTGCCGGGAGGTGTACCTGGCTGGGTACAGACTGCAGGCGTGTGCATTTTATGTTCTGTGGAGAAATTCTATAAAAATAGCATTTGTATTTTCTATCCATAAGTTCGAGTCAAGCACGGGGTGTGGGAGAATCAAAACAAAAAGGGGTGAAGTCTACGTTCCCGTCCTGATTTTCAACTCAGACTCCACTTTACAAGCGTCTCGCAGGGGTGTCCCGTGTGCCTACAGCGTGACGGCTGGGCCGTGCTCCTCCACGGCGCCCGGGGGCAGCGGCAGGGCCAGGCTCTGGCGCGGGTCCGCGCGCAGGGAGCTGAGCAGCCGGTGCGCGGGGCCCTCCCGCCCCGGCGCCGGGCCCGTGCCGTTGACCCGCGCCTGGCTGCCCGGCGGCGGTGGCGGCCTGGGCACCGGCCGCGGCTCCAGGACGCCCTCGAGCACCACGTCGGGCTCGTCGTCGCTGTCGGCGTCGTCGGGCTGCAGGTGCAGCAGCGCGGGGGCGGCGGGCAGGCTGTGGCGGCTGGCGGCGCTGTCCGAGGAGCGGCCCGAGCTGCCCGACACGCGGCTACCGCGCACCACGTTGTTCCTCTGGTTGGCCGGCTTGACCGTGACGATGAGGTTGTGGCTGTTGGCGATCATCATGTCCGTGACCTGGTCCAGCGTCTTCCCGGCCACCTCGATGCCGTTCACCTCCAGGACCTCGTCGTCCACGGCCAGCAGCCCTGTGCTCTCGGCCAGGCCGCCCGGCACCATGCGTGAAATGAAGATGCCGGGCACCTTCTCCAGCCCCTGCGGGGCGACGCGCACACTCGTGCCGTCGCGGATGTAGAAGCCCAGTGGCTTCTGGCAGCCGTGCCTGTACAGCCTCACACGGCGGTGCGTCTCGGGCAGGATGTCCACGTCGATGATGGAGGACACAGGGCGGAAGTCGTGCGGCAGGCCGATGTGCAGGTGTGCGCGCCTGCGGGGGCCGTCCTCCCGCAGTGCCAGTGCCTTCCTCCGGCGGGACAGCGAGCCGGCCCCGAAGCTGCAGTGCTCCGCCTCCTCTGAAACAGCAGGGGTTACGGTCAGGACAGGTGCCGCAGGTGTGGGAAAGCACCAGAGGGCACCGCAACGCATGCGCGCTGAGGCCTGGCAAAGCCTGCCTCTCTGCTGCTGACGGGTCATCTGCTCCTCTGGTGGGCCCCGAGATCCCGCGAAACTCGGAGCAGTGCGCCCCACAATCACATCACGTCTTTCAGCTAATTCCCTACGAGTCTCACCCACATGCCTAGGAGTTACCAGTTTGTTACATCACACCTCACTTTTTGGGGAAGTCTCAACCTCCAGGAGGATATGCTGGAGTAACTTTTTGAGTTGTTTCACTGAGTCCACAATTAATCCTGGCATCCGTTGAGCTGGCCCCAATAGTTCAAGTGCAATTGCCTCCCTAAAGTTAGCTCTCTGGAACTCTCCAGAACCACCCACAGGCCACCGACAAAATGACTGAAAGGTGGAGAAGCAGAAATAAGAAACTGCAATAAAGAGGATTAACAACAGATGGAAAGTTTAAAAGTGCCTGATTGGATCTCGGGAAGAGGGCAGAGCAGGGAGCACCAGGAATCTCTGCCCACCGGGCAACGACCACATGGCAGAATCTGTCTGATGGGACTATTTGGGGACTGCGGAGTCGGCTGAAGGCTTGCAGCTGTCCAGAAGTAGTCAGTTTTGGTCTCTTCTAGCTCCCAGCACAGAGCAGCTACCCAGCCGTGCGGCAGGTAGCCGTGCACGTGTTTCTGGGGCAGCCTGCAGACGCCAGGTGGGCAAGAAACACCCCGTCCTCCAAAGAGCAGGAGTCTAAGCTCTGACCACTGCCAGCTGCTTCTGATCACACAGGTGCAGACACAGAGCCTGGCCGCCGTTGCTGTCGGCCCTCCAGCTCCAGTGACTCCAAGGGCATTGGAAGGGCGAGGGCCCCCTTGTCCCCCTTTTGCTTTTCACTTTTCCCCTTTTGGGAGCCACAGGGTAGGACATTCAAAAAGAGCTGCATACGTGGGAATTAGGAAGGGACCGCGTGTGCCCAAGGAAAGGCTCAGAAAAGCCCTGAGAAGACATTCAGTTTACACCGCAGGCTGGTCCTCGGCACAGAGACAGCCCGCAACCATCAAAAGAACGATGACAACAAAACAGCAAACCCTGGAGAAGGGGAAGAATCTGATTTCCAGAGTTACCACATCATGAGATTCGAATGTTCGGTGGTCAGCCAAAAAATCACAAGGCACAGAAGGAAACAGGAGAGTCTGGCCCACTGAAAGGAAAAAGAGAACTCAACAGAATCTGTCCCTAAAAAAGACCCGAGGTCAGATCTACTAGACAGAGTTTAACACAAATGCCTTGAGACAGTGGGGTAAGATGGTGGAGTAGGAGGGTCCCGAGCTCACCTCCTCCCAGGGACACACCGAGGCATCCACCACATAGAAAGCAACTCAACCTGAGAACAACCTGAGGCCAGCAGAACAGCTCTTCCACAGCCAAGTACAGAAAGAAAAAGCCACACCAAGAAGGGTAGCAGGGGCAAAGACTGAGTCAGGAAACACATTCCTGGCACACAACCCACATGTGGGAGGGATATCACAGGGTCAGAGGTTCTCCCTGAGGACTGAGGGGATCAAGCACCACGGGCAGCCGTGGCACTAGGGACCTGCACCAGGAAGTAAGCCCCTATAATGTCTAGCTCTGAAAATCAGCAAGGCTTAACCCTGGGAGCTTTAAAAACCAGTGGGGCCCAGTTCCAGGAGAGCAAAGGCTAGAGGAAATTGAGACTCTGCTCTTAAAGGGTTAGTGTACTGTATTGCTTGGCTCCAGAGGCAGCAGTTTGAAAAGTGCCTGAGATTTATTGACAAGTTTTAGGGCATGTGCTGGAGGGCAGGGATCTGTGGGAGCTTTCTCTGGGAATGGAAGTGCTTATGGGCACTTCTGTTCTTGCCCTCCTTCCGCCTAGCTGGCCAGGCACCACTTCTGGCACTCTCCATCTAACCTGCTAGGACTGCTTCATCTGCCCGGGCAGGCACCCCTCCAGAGCAGCCCCCATCTGCCACACCCAGGGGGTAGCCCCCAACTGGGACTGACACCCCTCCAGAGGGACTCTTGCCCCAAGGAGGGGGTCAGCTCCACCTACCAGCATGCTCCAGCAGTCATGGCCCAGTCATAACAAGAGGGGGCACACAGGCCACACAGGGGACAACCTTGAAGCACATGGTTCTGATGACCAGAGGGGACTGTGGCCCCAAAGGACACCTTTTATGTGAGGCTACTACTTTCAAGACCAGAAGACATAGCTGGTGGAACTAATACATAGAAATAAACACAGAATCAGACAAAACCTCAGAAAAAGACCTAAAGAAATGGAGATAAACAACCTACCTGATAAATAATACAGAGTAATGATCATAAAGATACTCACCAGACTTGAAAGAAGAGTGGATGAACTCTGAGAACTTCAATAATGAGATAACTATAATGAAAATCACATCAGAGAAAATGAATAGCAGATTAGAGGATGCAGAATGGATCAGTGGTCTGGAAGACAGACATGGAAAGCACCCATGCTGAACAACAAAAAGAAAAAAGAATTCAAAGATGAGACCGGTTAAAGGACCTCTGGGACAACATTAAGTGTCTAATATTCACAGCATGGGGTCTTAGAGGGAGAGGAGATAGAGAAAGGGACAGAAAACCTATCTGAAGAAATAGCAACTGAAAACTTCCCTAATCTGAGGAAGGAAAGGGATCCAGGTCCAGGAAGCACAAAGAACCCCAAACAAGATGAACCCAAGGAGGTGCATACCAAGACATATAATAATCAAAATGGCAATGTTAAAGAGAGAATCTTAAAAGCAGTAAGAGAAAAACTACTAGCTACATACAAAGGAAACCCTATTAAGCTATCAGTTGATATTTCAGCAGAAACTCTGCAGGCCAGAAAGGAGTAACATGACATAGTCAAAGTGCTGAAAGGAAAAAAACTTACAACAAGAATACTCTATCCAGCAAGGCTATCATTCAGAACTAAAGGAGAGATAGAGTTTCCCAGACAAATGAAAATCAAGAGTTCATAACCACTAAGCTGGTCTTATAAGAAATGTTAAAGGGACTTCTTTAAGCATAAAAGAGAAGGCCATAACTAAAAATACAAAAATTATGAAATGGAAAAATTTCACAGATAAAAGCAAACATATAGTAAAGGTAGTAGATCAATCACTTACAAAACTAGTGTGAATATTAAAAGACAAAGGTAGTAAAATCAATTATATCTATAAAAATTAAGGGATACACAAAAAAGTAAAATATGTCATAAATTGTAGAGGAGAGAAGTAAAGTATGCTTTCAGAGTGTCTTTGAATTTAAGCAACCATCAACTTAATATAGATATTGTATTTTTGTTATATATGAATCTCATGATAACCACAAACCAAATACCTATAAATAGATATGCAAAAAATAGAGAGAAAGGAATCCAAGCATAACACTAAAGAAAGTCATCAAATCACAAGGGAAGAGAGCAAGAGAAGAAGAGAGGAACAGAGAACTACAAAAACCAGAAAACAATGAACAAAATGGCAATAAGTACATAACGTATTGATAATTAAATGTTCCAATCAAAAGACATGGGATGAATGGATAAATAAACAGGATCCATCTATATGCTGCCTATAAGGGACTCACTTCAGATCTAAAGACACACACAGATCAAAAATGAAGGGATGGAAAAAGATATTCCATGCCAATGGAAGCAGAAAAAGCAATCTGGGGTAGCCATACTTATATTGGACAGAATAGACTTTTAAAACAAAGGCTGTAACAAGACAAATAAGGGCATTATATAATGATAAAAGGCTCAATCCAACAAGAGGATATAACAATCATAAATATGCATGCAACCTGAAAAACTACATACATAAAGCAAATGTTAACATACCTTAAAGGGGGAAACTGACAGTAATATAATAATAGTAGGGGACTTTAGCACTCCACTTGCATCAATGGATAGATCTTCCAGACAGAAAATCAATAAGGAAACAGTGGCTGTGAATGACACATTAGACCAGATGGACCTATTAGATATATGCAGAACATTCCATCCCAAAGCAGCAGCATACACATTCTTATCAACCACACGTGGTTCATTCTCCAGGATAGGTCACATTAGGTCACAAAACAAGGCTCAATAAATTTAAGAAGATTGAAATCATATCAAGCATCTTTTCTGACCACAATGGTATTACTAGAAATCAAATGCAAGAAAATCCTGAACAAACCACAAACATGTAAAGGCTAAGCAACATGCTACAAACAAAGGGTCAACAAAGAAATCAAAGAGGAAATAAAAAAAGTTCTTGGAGACAAATGAAAACGGAAGCACAGTAGTTCAAATTCTTTAGGATGAAAAAAAAGCAATTCTAAGAGGTAAGTTTATAGATACGGGCCTACCTCAAGAAACAAGAAAAGTCTCAAACAGTCTAAACCTACACCTAAAAAAGACTATAAAAAAACAAAGCCCAAAGTTAGTACAAGGAAGGAAGTAATAAAGATGAGAGTGAAAATAAATGAAGTAGAGACCAAAAAGACAATAGATAAGATCAATGAAACTAAGAGCTGGTTCTTTGATAAGATAAACAAAATTGACAAACCTTTAGCCAGACTCATCAAGAAAAAAAAAGAGAGACTCAAGTAAATAAAATCAGAAATGAGAGAATTTTAAAACTGACATCACAGAAATCCAAAAGATTGTAAGAGATTGCTATGAAAAGTTATATACCAACAAATTGGACAACTAGAAGAATGGATAAATTCCTAGAAACATACAATCTTCTAAGACTGAATCAGGAAGAAATAGAAAATCTGAAAAGACTGATTACTAGTAATGAAATTGAATTTGTAATCAAAATCCTGACAAACAATAAAGTCCAGGGCCAGATGGCACAGGTGAATTCTACTAAACATTTTATTTATTTTATTTTATTTTAAGATTTTATTTATTTATTTGACAGAGACACAGCGAGAGAGGGAACACAAGTAGGGGGAGCGGGAGAGGGAGAAGCAGGCTTCCCGCTGAGCAGGGAGCCCGATGTGGGACTCAA